GTGTTTTGCGTCTGGTAGGGAAAAAAGTAGGTCCTCACCATAGTAGCCTACTGCAAACAAATGCGGATTGGATCCTGGGACTTTCTCTTCTAGTTTGAATTGAGTTCAGGTAGGACCTACTTGGGCAAGCTAGGCCAAGTGATCTTCTGAGGTTATTTGCCAGATATATAATTCAAGTTGAAGGCCTGTAGGCCAGGCTGCGGGCAGTTTATTTCCTGGGGTAGGTTGTTCATTAAATGCTACAGAGTCTTATTGTGCTCTTCCTACTCTTTGCCATTATTATGTTGGGAGTCATAAAATGTTTGTAGGAAATTCTAATTTTCTGTTCCATCCTAAGTCATGGGTCTTGGAGTTGGAGGAGTTAGTTCTGAGACTGCTTTCTTCTTTGAAGTTGACAAATAACCTTTCATTAGACTCAAGTCATTGTAGAATCACCACCAGGTTCTTCAGCAAGAAGCTGGTTTTCCTTCTCTGTATGAGACCTGGCAGCGCTTGGAACTGGTGCATTTAACATCAAATAGTCACAGGTTTGAAAACAACTAAGTAGACAACTTTACCTGTTTTTATGACTTCCAGTATCAAGAATGTGTTACCCAAATTACGCATGTGGTTTGTGAGCATACCAGAAGTTTTTAGTGCGAACCAATTGGCTTGAGAGGGTTAATCCATCTAGGCTTATTTTGAAGTACATACTTTACCTACTGGTTGGAGAATTTTTTTTTCCTATTTATGCCTCTGGTTTCTCTATATGCTTTGCAAGGCAGATCTTGCATTAAGATACCAAGATATCCTCTTGACAATTTGAAGCTGCGGCCTTTGGTGCTAATGCACATCTTTATCAACCACTTTAGATTTCAAACTGATCATATGTGCGGAGATTCAACCTCTGCTTAACATCCACTTTGGAGGCTTCTGAAATGTTCCACGTGGAAGTATAGCTCTTTGTTATGTTACTTGAACCTAACTTTCAGATGCTGGTGTATTTTGGGTGCTGCCTTGTGAATCACAATGTGAATTGTGGTTAATGTTCCTTTTTTTTATATACTTACGTTTGAGTGCAGATCATGCTATAAGATGGTAGGTAATTCAACATCCATACCAGACAAATTAATCTAATACCCAGGAGCAGATTCCTTAAAGATAATGGCAAGCACATAGTGGTATTTCCCTGGAATAGCCTTGCTTTGGCAGATTGTAGCTCCCTCAGCTTTGAAAACCCATTGGGGATAAAAAGTAATCTTGAATAATAGGGATTGTTTTTTCTTGCAAAACAAAAACAAAATGACCTTATCAGATCATCTAATTTATCTGAGAAATGTTATCTCTTCAATTGAGTAATAATAGACACCATTCAGTGCATGAAATTACTTGGTTTCGAGGTGTTGGTTAAGTTTATATCCAAGACAATTCTGGAATGGTTTATGTACAGCTCCAAAGCAACTTTCTAAAATACTTTCTTATTCTCTCAGGCTTCTTACTCTTTGTTCAAACCTTAAAAAATTCAATTAAGATTGTCTAGCATGATTTAGAAACTAGCATGAAAACCTTTTTTAATTATTGTCAGTAAAGTTAAATGGTTTTTTTTCATGTCAAAATAAAACTTCAGTGCATCTCTCTTCCACTGTTTGTAGTTAAATTGCTCGTAGAGCAAGCAATCAAGTGCATTGTTAGTGAATCTGTAAATGTCCTTCAGCATGAGTCTGTGATGTCCTCCTCTTCCCTCTGCTGGTGTAGTTTTCTACTGGATTAATGAAATAAATCAGTTCATGCAAGTGTTAAGTGAGTGACAGAGCTGAGTTGGAGGAGGGAATTGGCTGTGTTGAGCTGGTACTTCATTTTGCGTTACTTCTGCCTTAGAAAACTGGCTGGTTTTTTTCTTCTTTCTTGAATATTCAGTAGAGGGAAAGTATGTCTCGTGGCACTTTCCAAATCAACAAAAACACTGTGACGCTAGCTGAAGAATCATCTGCTAATTTCTTTGAGTAATAAGGAAAGTAGCACCTGAAATACTAAAAATAATAGATAAGATATGAATTATGGCAGATCTAAAATTTGAAATATGAAAACCTGTGACAATCTTAAGCTGTATCAAATTCTGAGTTTGACCTTAGATTGCAGAAACATGCCCGATCTAATGCCTGGTTAGTTTGTATATTAACACCAAAAAAGAGGGTATTTATTTTAATTAAAAAAAAAAAAAAAAGTCAGGTCATTGGATGTTGCACTCAATTGCTGAAAATAGTCCTTCTAATGTAAATCATGCTAATAAAAGTATAATTTTATGCTTAAGAATTAATGAGTTTACCCAGTGGATAATATACGTCAGCCTTTCACCTAGAGGAAAGGAGCTGGCTCTGAGGATTCTGGCACGAAGCTAGAAAGAAGAGTTGCAGTAGCACCATAGGGTTTTGTGCTGCTAGGCCATGAAAGGTAAAAATTGAATGTAAGGTAATGTTTCTGATGGAGTGATACTGCTGATGCTCATACAGTGAAAGTTTTGCAGCCTGAAAAGCACTCCCGATGGCTTGCAAACCAGAGATTAGCAAAACATACTTGGAGTAGTTTTTTTTAAAACATACATTTATTAGGTCTTACTGACTTTGGTTATCTTCTCTCTCCATTCTGGATGAATGTACTGTTTCTCCTTCTTGATCTGCCTGCCTCAAAGACTCTCTTCAAGTTTTTGTTGTAACAGTCACTTGTTTGAGCCTTGACTAATGAAGAGCAGGCCGAGAATGCTTGCTACGTGCTCAGCAACAACATAATACTGATTTCACTGGGTGATTCCCTTGTGGATTTTGGAGGCGGTTCCAGTGTAAAATGGTTCTTTTTGGGAGTGAGTAATTCCACATTTTACTATCCAAAGATTAGAAATGCAGAGATTTCCGTCTTCCCCTTCTGAATATTATGTCAGCACCAAGTAAGTGGCAGAGATCAGAAAAGTGAGTATGTGCCAAGTAGGTAAAGGGGTGGGGGGGTAAGGACTGGATAATAACGTGGGAAAGACTGGTCTGCAAAAGATCAAATTGTTTATTTCTGCAAGCAGCATATACAAAACACGTATTTTACAGCCATGAGCAATGAATTTGTCAAGATAAAGCCATCTTTCTATAGTGGTTTCTTCTATTGTATATTCAGTATTGGTGCTAGAAGAATAAGCGTTTTTCTAGATCCTATGTTTGGAGATAAGCATGGTTCTGCTGAGACTGCAGTTACAGATTAACTGCATCATTAAAAGAACTTGCTGTAGAGGAGGATATTATTATTCACCCTCTCACTGAAAGGTATTGAGCCTCTTAAACTCCTGTGTATTACTGAACTACCGGAATAAATTCCATGTGCTTTCAATATTAGTAGAGTCCTTAGTGGGATGGTATGGTGGTTTCTGTAACTCTTACCTCTCCCAGAAGAAAATGCATCAATTATGATTGCTAAATGGCTAATGTCAGTGCCAGCTAATAGTATTGTCCTTTGGTCAAAGTGGTATGCAGAAGCTCTGATGGGCAAGAGCATACCTTAACTTTGACTCTGCTTTTGCATGTTGTGAAATTCACAAATAAGGAGTGCTTCCTCAGTTTTGTTAGAGTCGAGGAAAGAAGGCTGAGCGCTAATAAGACTCGTATTCACACTGATGTCGCTTAGAGGCAGCAATGTTTCTCTAGTTGACTGGTTTATGTCATGATCTGTGTACTGGTTTTCTATGACAAGTTCTTCTCTTGAGAAGTTAGTGAGCATTATTTGGAGCAAAAGTCACTCTCCCTGGGCTGCTTTCTGCTTTTCATCCCATGCTTTCTGGGACAGATTTTGCTGTCGATTTCATTTGTTACCTTATAACTTGGTTTAATTCTCTTTATTCAAACATGTCTCTTTTTAGCTCTTTTTATAACCAGAAAAAGCAGAGTAGTCCCCTGAAACTAATCAAAAGCGTTGCTAATGTAAACTTTACAGATAACTGAGGCCATGTTTAGCTCCTCACTCCACCTTCTCTGATCAATACTTTTCCTTGAAGGAAGCAAGTGAAAATGTACATTGACCTAAAGCACAGTAATATTCCTTTGGCAATATTTTACTATGAAAAGCAAACATTGCATAACTTGAAGTGCATGCCACAGAGATGTAGTGAAGTTTTGATGATTTGAGATGGCTGTATTATATGGCATGAGGTTGTTTGTTGTTTTGAAAATGTCCAGTAGGAGAGAGTTTGCAAACCAAAAAAGATTCTAACAGTCAAGATAAATGAGAAAATCACACTGGATGGTTTCACTTTGTCTCTTAAAGAAAGCATGGACATCTGGTGTGGACATTGCCATGGACTATGGCAATAGTGTGTGGGGTTACGTGTGTGTTGAATGTAGCCATGAGTGATGTTGCAGGAATGGCTCTCAAGTCTGTTTGTAAGGAGAAAAAAAAAAAATGTCCTCCTCTTTAGGTACGTTAAGTGTCAAATTCTTTCAGTACAGGAAGAGGGGGAAAAAACCTCAGTTGCAGTAATCAGGGTAGTAGATAAGGAGAGACAAGGTGCAGGCTACTGGCAGGTATATTCGCAATGAAACAAAAGACTCAGATTTTAAAGAAAAAAGAACATTGGAGATAAATGTTAGGTAAAGTATTCCACACCACTACATAAATACTGTATAAAAATGGTTAGCTGACTTAAGGAAATTGCTTGTATACAGTTGTCTTTAATACTGAAAAGCATTCTTGAACTCTGCATATCTTCCAGAGAATTCAGTACTGTATGCATTCTAATGAATGTGTTAAGATATGGCTAAGATGTATTAGTTTGGAGAGAGACAAGATGTTTTTGTTTGTTCACTCATCAGAAAGTTGTAATGTGTGCAGTAATCCTTTGTGTTAATTGTCAGGAACTAATTACGTGTACAGTTTTTACTATTTATAAAGCTGTCAGCCCAGTCTTTGTGGTAGAAGCTTTAATGTCCTTAAAATGTCTTTCGTTCCTCCCTTTTTCAGCCATAAAATTTACAATACACAGTTATGTCTGTCTGATGTTTTGAGGATATGGTTATTCAGAATTAGGGCAAAGTCCTTCATATGCTCTGAATGCAGAGATTGTAGTTCATCTCATAATGATTTCAACTCGATTTTGTTATGTCCATTGAAAATTCTACTACTGAATCTTTCTTCTTGACTTAACAACATGTAGCAGGAGAAGCAACTTCTCATCTAAAATGAAACTTCACTGTTTTATTCACCAGCATTGTTGGGAGATGTGCAAACTCCAGTAGTGTTACCTTACAGAAAAATGTCAGCTGAAGGCATAAACACATTACAGAGACACCTTCACAAGGGGTCCAGCCACTTGCATCAGATTACTGTCAAATTGATGAATGGGTAGGAATGAGGTTGTCCTTGGTAGGCTTCAAAATAAACATCTAATCTTAAATCATATCCTTTGTCTAGTTTGGGCTAGTTATTGCCTTGAGAGAAGTTAATGGGATACAATTAATGTCCTTCGATGGCAATACTGTGTTTTAATCCAACAGTACAGTTCCTTATAAGCAATCCCTTTACAGCTTCTTAGTTTCTTGAATAGTTGCCTTTATTTGTTGCAACATTCAGTACATCCACTCAGAGTTTTTGTGGGTCTCTGTTCTGTACCATAGGTGTTGGATTGGATTGAAAACCATGGAGAAGCTTTTCTTAGCAAACATACTGGAGTGGGAAAATCCCTGCATCGGGCTAGAGCTTTGCAGAAACGCCATGAAGACTTCGAAGAGGTTGCACAGGTAAGAAACAGTCACATGAAGGACTGTACATTTGTCATGGAAATATATGAAAAATTCCTGCTCTGGCACTGAAGGATTGGACAGAGGGAGCTCCACTACAAAAAATTCAGTTTCAAGAGTGGACTGTTTTGTTTCTGTTGCAAGCTTTTATTTCATTTGTCCTTTGCACTCCTGCTTTAGTAAGAAAAAGACAAACTTCCACAGTCCTATGGAGAGTGGGAACCTTGAAGCGCAACAGAGCTGCTACTGCTATTATTATGTATTATTATTGTTGTTTGCAAAAGCATGCTTTCAAATGTTGAGACACAGAAGAATGAAAGTTCTCCTTTTAAAGTAACTTAATTCCGTGGGATTCTAGGATTTAGATTTTTGTGCAGCCTGTAAGAGAGGATGGAGATGAATTGAAAGCCCTGCTTCCTGACTTGGAGGTTGAGGAGCTCCCAAATCCCTACAACAATATTGTGAGGGGGGAGGGAGGGACTCCTAAAAAAACAGGTGAGCCAGCAAACTGGACAAACTGACTGGGTTTTTTCTTTAAATACAGTTGAGTTTGTATATGCCCTCCTGTTCTGAATCACTGATACCAATGCTTTTTCCATAGAAAGACTAGTTTTAGGCTTAAGTGGAACTGATGATAGAACTTCAAAAGACACTTCTGTTAAAAAGAGTTAAGCCAAAAGAAATAGAGATGCTAAGGAATACAGGGAGCATAACAAGAGGAAGTTGGTTTGGGTGGCAGCCTCTAAAAGGGACCATGAAGTGGATGAAACCCATGAGAAGCTGAAGGCTAGAATCCTCCCCATTAGTGACATGCACTGTCTGTCCAGCCTTAATGACTGGTAAGAGTAAACATCTCTAAGATTCATCAAGAAAAATCTCGTTAAGGAGGGTTGATATGGTGGTCCTCCAGTTGAAACAGAAGACGCAATATTAGAAAGTTCTGAAGTGACATGCAGATGCATCAGAAGTGTGTTTACAAATTGCCTGTTTAATGGGTTATTAAGCTCTTAATAAAATTTTATTGTAAATATGGTATCTTAGAGCACTCCAGTGACTGAGGACTTGAAATAGCATCAGAAAGCTTCTTCAATATTTATTTCCTATAAAATTTTCCCAAATAATAAGCTTTTTAGTTTTGTATATACACATAGTGGATTTTCCATATGCATGCCTAATGCTTCATGTTTAGTAAAATCTGTAATATTTTCCATGTGGAAATACTTATTTTTCTGGGTCAGACAAGCAAGAATCTATTTCTGTAAGACACATAACAAAACCTGAATGATCTCATACTTAATACTGTGTTATTTGAGCAAAGAAGAAAAAAATGTTTGAGTAACCAAAGGGGATGAAGTGTGTAAAACTGTTAGTGGGATGTAAACTGTTAAAAAAGCATCTTGTTAATTTGCATTATACTTTAAAGTAGAAAGTTGTAAAGCAAATACTTAGCAAAAACTTTCTAAAACTGAATGCTACTAGAGTTTAAAGCGATGTCTTTAGGGGATGGGTGGAATTTCTATTTTTGGAGATACTGAAAACTTAATCTGCTCAAAGAACTTAAATATGCTGCAGGGGACTATCTTCCACTGACACAAGGATGGACAAAATGATCTAATAAGTATTTTTTTTAATCTCTAACTCTTGAATGTGTAGTGAGTGCCAAGAGAGGCACACCCTCTGATTTGTTCCTCTTGCTTTCTCTAAAACTGAATGTAAGCAGGCCCCAAAAGGCATTCCTTGTTGGTGTTATAAGTAAGATTATGTTCAAGTATAAGACAGCAATCTGCTGTCCTTGTTAAAGCATGAATAACTTTTAGCTGATTTATTCTCTACCTACATTTCTGGTTGGTCCAGCTCTTTGTTGTGTTTTGGCTTTTGAGTGGGGGTGTTGTTGTTGTTTGTGTTTTGCTATTTGTTTGTTTGTTTTGGTTTTTTTTCAAAGTACCCTAGGCATAATTAGGGACTTTCAGTCAGCTCTAGGCAGAAGTTGAGAGGCAGCAGTGTCAAGTGAACTGTCAGTGGCATGTCAATGTCTTATCAAATGCAGGGAGCCAACAATAATGTTGAAATATTCCTGATTGAAGGCCAACTCCTGATTTTGAACGAAGCAAAAATTATTTTTTCTTTTTTCTTCCCTTTTGCTTTCTCTCTCATTATTTTTTACTGTGAATGAAGTGCCAATTCCTCAGCAGCATTCAAAGAGGTGTTAAAATAAGTGGTATGTCAAATCAAAAAGATGTTCCAGGGTCAGTGGGCTCTGGGCTCACAAATTAGTCACTTGAAAATTTGTGTGAAATGAAGGCTTGTTTCTCTTTATTTTGTAGTTTCTGTTACCACTACAGAAGTACTAGATAGTAAAAACTCATCCAACTAACAATCCTCCCTAAAATCTGATGTATTAGTGTTCATGTTACACATACATACGTTGACTTGCACCCCCTACTGTAAAATTATGCTGCTTACCCTTTTTTTTCTTTTTTTTTTTCTCACTCTCCCTATGTTCATCTTTGTATCCATGAGACCATTTAGTCAAAAGTGTCAAGACTCCAAATTTTGACATGATGTACTTGTAGGCACAGATTTTCAACTTAGAAGCACTGGATGCAGATCAATATTGTAGTTGTACTTCACCATGCAGTTTTGTGTTAAATTCGAAGTCAGCTTCTCCTGTTTCAACTATAATTGATGTTTGCTTTTTGACAGTAGTCTATACTCAAAAAACATGAAAGGTGTATGGCAAGAATTAATTAGTGGGGTCTTCTTCCACAGGTAAGTTATTTTCTCCGTGTGCAGACTGCATCCGAGTAAAGAACTCAAGTCTTCTTGGTGCAAGAGATACACAAGAAAGATTCTTCCAAACCTCATTTGAATACACCTGTAATTTCCCTACCACCATCAGTTCGCACCTCCTTTAAGGTTGTAAAAAAAAAGGTTATGTGTTTGAGCTGGTTCTCAACTTTACCTGTGAATGGCTGTAATACATCAAATTAAAGGTCCATGTCTTCAAGTATATTGTGGCCATCACCAGATGCACAAAGAAAAGGGTCTGTGTGCTTAAAAAGTTACCTCTACCCGCCCAGTTATCTGGGCTTATTTGGTGTCTGGAACTGAGGGATGCATCAGAACCAGTGTTTAATAGTCACTCATGGACTTTTCTTTCCTTAATTAGGCTAGCTACTTTTTGAACCTATTTATGCTTTTGTAATGTACGCCAGATCCTGTGGCAATGAGTTATCCAATTTAATTGCCCCTTAGATGAAAAGTGCTTTTGCTTTTTCATTCTGAGTGTGTTGCTTGATGCTTAAATGTGATAGTATCCACTGTATCTAATTAGTAATCCATCTTCATTTTTCTCTACCTTTAATGATTTGTACACCTCTGTAGTGACCATGCCTTGGTGGAGTTTG